TGTCTTTGTTTTAGACTATTTATATGGTTGTTTTTATTGGTGTGTTTTTTATTTGCTTTGTTTTAAATATGTAACTAAATGATAATGTTTTCTTTGTATTATTCTAGGAAGTTTGTTCTATTTTTTATTGTACACGAGAAAATGGTTTAAATTTAGAGTGAAAAAGCCAATAACATCTAAAGATTATAGTCGAGAGCCACAATTTACGATAAGTGTGGGGCGTGTGTCGTGTTCGTGAGAGATTTTTCACTATATTATGGTTTCATAGTGCTTATTTTGAGATTTATGAAGATTTTACATGATATATATACATATGATCAATTCCCAGTTCTATATTACATAGTTACCACGACGTGGTGGCCCTATTGAGACGTCATGGTGCCTTCATTGATCACGATTTCACGAAGATTTCATATTGGATACCATGGCGTGACCGACACTTTCCCATGGCGCGGCAAAAGTACATTGCACTCTTTTTCTTGCACCACATTTGAAGTCAAGCTCTTGGTATTATGAATCCGAAAAAATAAGCAACAAAGATCTAATTTTCAACAATTTTAGAGATGTCAAGCTTGGTCACAACAATCGTTTCGATCTCGAAAAAGGATTTCAAGCATTAAAAAGTTTTTATTGAAAAGTGCTATATTTTTTAAACTTATTAAGTATATTATAAAGACTTGCAAAAATAGTCTAATTTGGAAAATCTAGTACATTTGAATTTTTGATATTATCGCATTAGGACTACTATGGTAGTGTTTTGTGTGATGATTCAAGGAGAACTCTAAGATTTTGTTGAGCTAATATGTTACAGTATATTTGTGGCATCCCAGTTATAGTGAAATCATGTGACAAAAATGCGACGTTGTGTAGTTTGAGGGATATAATAAATTTTTCTTAGTGAATACCTAGACCCGATAAAAATCCTACAAGTAGTGATTTATCTCCTAGGTCCTTTTTGTTAAAATAAAGTTAGTCAATTTTCCAATGTTGAATTTTTGCATTTTGAGTGTAGTGGTATATAAATATTTATCATTTCAGGAGTGGGACAAACCTGTGGCCTTTGAGACTTGGTGAGTATTCCCCCCAGGGATATGTATATCTATCCACTTATTTGTAAAAGCTTGGATGGATAGGAAGAAAATCGCTATATGGGTTTCACCGAAAGTCATGAGTTCCATTAGTAACATAAGGAATTCTGAGCATCCAATGAACTTCTTCAAAAGTCACGAACTATAGTATAGTAGTAATAAATTTAAGTTATTTGTTTGCTTATTTATGTGAAAGTTGAAGTTATGAGAAAGGGAAAAAATATGGAAAAAGTTGTGAAAAAAAGTGAAAACGAGAAAAAGTTCCAGAAAAATATAAAGAAATTGTAATAAAAGTATCGTAATATTTTTTTGATAATTATATTATATAATATTTTTCTTTTTAACGTTGAGTCAATTGGAATTTAAAAATAACTTTTGAAACCAAAGGAGGTAAATAAAAGGGCGTAGGTGGTAAGAATGCCAAAAATGAATGTTGTTCAAAATAAGTGGGAAACGTTTCTAAGGAATGTGAGTATTTAGGATTTGGAAGGACTTAGGTAAAAGTTAGACACAAATACATGCATTGAGGTAAGACGTAATTAGTGAGTGTGAACCAGATTGTTTTGTGTGATATTGTTGGGAAATGTTTTAGTGTGATGTATTAAAATAAATTGCTTAGGGACAATCGCAAGAGAAGTGTGGGGTATTTTGGATTGTTTTGTGTAATATTGGTGGGCAATGTTTTAATGTGATGTGTTGAAATAAATTTTTGCTTGGGGATAATCACAAGACAAGTGTATGGTATTTTCTTTTATATATATATATATATATATATATATATATATATATATATATATATATATATATGCACTACTTCAATACAATTTAGCTTTATTTTGGTTAGATACAAGGATATTTGGTACTTATATAGTTTAAATTCTATTTTGTAGCCAAAAAGTATATTCTCAAGGAAAATGACTTCATCTGAAGAAAGCTAGAAACTTAGAGATTGGAGCATGCATTCAGTGATAAAGACGAGAAGAAAATAGTCTTAATGATGATCCCATGTCATGGTCGCTTATATGCCACGACGTAGCCACGTGTCCAGTATAGAAGCTTCTCGGGATCTGTATAAAACATGGTTTATATGGATCATAAGTGATTCCCATGATGCAGTGAGCATTATTCCATGTCCTGGAAGCGGTAATTTGGCAACTATAAATATCAACTTTTAGGTCGAATTTTAGAGAGGAAATCCATAGAGTTGCAACTAACTTTGACCAAAACCAACTCTAAATTCTTTAGAATGGAGCATTCAATTTAAGAATAAGTTTTAGAGAGATTGAAGTGTAGGATCATCATTAATCATTAATTTTTCCTAGATTTTATGATGTTTAATCTAGTTTACTATGTTATTGTGTGTTCTTTTTCTGTAATCATGGGCTAATAACACTTTACTTTCGTTTAGATTAGATGAACCCTAATACTATGTGTTAATTTCTACTTTTATGGATTATTGAAGTTGGTTTTATCTTGTGTTTGGTAAATCATCCTCCTAGCATGTTAATGTTTTAATCTTTTTAGCCTTGACCTCGAGTTTTGTGTAGTTAAACGACCATTTATTGCATGAACTTCTTTACCTAGTTTTTTATGATCATTAAATTGCTAATGCTAGAGATTGACCATATCCTAGTATTGGTAGTAAATGTTGTTACTTAACTATGTTAGAGAGCATTATTTGATCATAATACATGCTTGATTATTTATTTTGATGATAGGTAAATAATTATAGATCCATTCATTCATAGTCCAAATTATCTTAAAATCAATTTGGTGTTCTTAACTTGCACGATCATTAGGGTTAAAGTTCATAAATTAATATATGCTAGTTAGTCTGATCATGATAACTAGTAAATTTTAATTTGGTAGCTCCTTTGGTCAAAAATCAAAATGATAACTGTGGTGTGGTGACTATTATGAGTATCAAATTGAGATCAAAATGACACAATTGGTTTAAAAGGAAAGCTCTTTCTCCTTGATTGGATCTCCGACGTAAAACCTTGGGAGATGATATTGATCACTTGCCATGTTTGATTTTATTGATTTGAATGCAAATTATAGAAATGATAACATGAATATGAGTACAAGTGTTTTAGTAGCTCTAGGTGTGTATGTGTGTAGTGTCAATTATACATGTGTATTGATAGTGTAATCCAAATAACTAAAAGTCTAATATATTCAGGATCCTCTACAATAAGTATTTGCACGTTGCTTTGACTTGGTATTTTCGGGTCTTAAGCCAGTTTAAAGTAATCCTCCGGAATAAATTAGTCTTTTATTGACTATTTCTGCACAAAAACAAAAGAATAAACAAGAAATATAGTCGTTAATCTTGTTAGGGAATAATAATAATAATCAATATCCTGTTATATGTTTTGGGATCCTTAAAATCCCTTAAGATCCGGGATCCTGATAGGGTTAAGTATCCCGACCCTTAATAATTGCCCCCAAATTATACCTTCAAAATATTTCGGATTAATGCTGAAGATTTGAAAGAGTATACTTTTATCAAAATTAAAAGTAAGAATTGTAAAATTTTAATTATAACGGATATAATTCTAGCCGATAAGGTTGGCATAATTATTTTTCAAATCAGTTCTTTCTCCTCTATGATCTTTGAATAAATAGGACGCATGGGTTCCCGATTTTTCTTTACTTCTTCTACTTTTCTTTCGGACATTACTCGTTATCTTCAAGGTAATCCTCTTCTTCTTTTCTTCTTATTTTTCCTATCTGTTGATCATAGTAGCCAAAAGTAGAACGTCGTGTGACACGAAAACCAACCTAATTCACATCATAATAAGCAATAAGCTCACAATTAGGAGAGATAAATCTATGTAATCCATGACCATAAGTACCTCGTACATAGCACAAAATATTGTTAAGAGAAGTGAAGTGTGGCTCTCGACGATCATGCATATATAAGGAGATATGTTGAACAACATATAAAGATCCAATCGGGTAAAGGTGAGATACTAAAGAGCACAATCAAGGTTGAAATATAAATTCGGATCATCAATCGGAGAATAGATGCACGTTCAAGAATATCATTTGCATATCTTTGTTGAGACAAAAATAAACCATAAGCAGATCGAATAGCATAAATATCCAAAAAGTAATGCAAATCTCTAAGATTAGTCATAGAAAACTCGACACTAAGAGTGGAGATGATATGGGAAAGTAACTGAGATGATAATCGTGTGAGTATGATATCATCTACATATAGAAGAAGATATGAAAGATGAGTGCCCTTTCTGCAAACAAACAAAGATGAGTCAATCTTGATGTGAATAAAACTTAGACGATAGATAAAATTAACAAAGTGCTAAAACAAAGTGTGTGGGGCCTATTTGAGACCATATAAACATCTCTTTAATAAACAGATGTGATCCGGTCTGCATGAATCCCGAAATCCTAGAGGTTGATGCATTTAAATTGTCCGTTGAAGATGCTTGTGAAGGAACGCATTCTTGATATCAACGTGTCGAATAGGCCACTTATGAGTGACTGTGCTGCTACTTGTTCACTCCACCACTAGATTCCTCCTTTCCTCTTCTTCTCTCCTTCTTCAAGCTAGAAATGGCACTAAAATGGTGAAGAACTTCAAGGATGAAGAATCTCAAGGCTCTCTAGGGCTTAGAGTGTGAGGGAGGCGGAGGGTGAACAACCCTAGCCTCCTCTTTTCTTTAAATACCGAAAATTAGGGTTTTTGGTCCTCGGATTGATCTCTCATCGTGAGTGTCGGATTGCTCACGTCGTGAGCCTCAAAATGATGTGCGGGTCCAATATACTCCTCACGATGTGAGCAAGTATTCCTCACGTCGTGAGAAGGGCCAAAACTGAAAGCTTTTAACACAATAATAATAATAATAATAATAATAATAATAATAATATCATTTTATCAAAGAAAAGCTACCCTTTAACCCACCTTGTAAGTTTTGCAATCTGTTCTTCCGGAACATTGAATTTAATAAGCACCTCTCTTGCAACATCCAGGCTTAATCTATGAAGATCAGCGTCAGTTCTAGTGACTGTAGATCCTCCTCTATTTATAGCAACTTTTTTCTTTGCAATGACATTTGAAACTGGAGCCTTGGGAGCAGTTGGAACATAGCTAAATCCTAATCCTCTACCAGATGGATCACCAACACCAGTAATCTCCAATCTTTCAATATTTCCTCTATCCTGAACAACAATATTTAAGACTTCAACCCAATAAATCATATCCAGTTAAGTATTAAGTCCCTGTTTGGTTTTTTTTTTACCTGATTCGTACAAGCAACAAAGTTGCTGCTTAAATTCCAGGGAGTTATTTGTAATTCTCTCTCGATGTGGGAAGCAGCTAAAGCTATTGCTTCATCAGGGTGCTGATTCATTGCAGAGGAGAGACCAGATGGATGAGTCATGCTGATTCCTAGACGTTTCAGTCTGTACATTCCAGCTAGCATGCTTTCAAAAGCACACACCTAACACACAAAAAGAAATAAGATAAAAGAAAAGGAAGATAAAGATAAAGATTAAAGAAAAGTGAAAACATACATTTGCTGGTGTCACCGTTCTTCTAAGCTCCTCCTCTAATGGAATACGAAAATTTCGCTTCATAACCTATGAACCCCTCTGGTGATTGGTTCCATAAATATAAAACAAACTGTTAATATATTGGTATTATGGGTAAAAAAGTAAAGTAATGAGTAAAATTTCACCTGAAAATCACAGAATAACTTTAACCTCTTTCTTAAAGAAACTTCAGCTACATTTGCAAACTGTGTAGATAACTCATTGGCATGAATGGCAGGTGTCAAGCCACGTTTTTGAAGAGCACGAAACTCATGATACATGAACACCATAAGCCTATTCATATTATACATCTGAACACCTTTTGATACAGGGGACATCACCTCCATGTGAGGCTCCTATTTACATTACACATTTTAAATAAATATATAGATGGAAAAAAAACGAAGGAAAGATATAGGTCAAACCTGTTGACCAACAACGTAAATCCGGTCAATGCGTCTTAATGAGAGCTTTCCCTTTGAAGAGCGAATGAGTAAATAGTTAGTGGATGAGAGTTTATGTGGATGTATTGGAGCTCTGTACATATTTGTTGAAAGAATTCATGGGTACCATTGTTCCTTAAGGGAATCTGACCTCTAGGGCCTGCTCTTCGAATAGAATATCAAAAGGATCAAGATTGGGTTTCCTACAAAATTAGAAAACTAAAACAACAACAGAAATACCTTGTTGGATAAACTGCTTCCCACCAAAGAACTCAGTGTAACCTTGAGAGGAGTGAAAATGAAGTGGTGAGAGAAAAATGTAAAATCATAAGCTTCTTCTTAGCTAAGATAAGGAGAGGTGCACGCAGAGGGAAAACTAGCAACACAAGACGAAGCCAACACAAAAGATTCAGAATTTAATTAGAGAAAATAAATGAAGTAGCCAACAAGTCAATTTAATTACCTGTTTTGCAGTCTTTCAGGAGCTTTCAAGACCTTTCATGAACCCTAAATTTCTCCAATCTCTGAATCCTACCCCAAAAATTGTTAACCAGGGTGTTTAATTCGTAGAAATCGGTTCAAATTGCTTACCAATTTATTGCTATGGGAGAGGAAGTCAGAACTACCGACTTCGATGTCAGCGGTGGAGATGACGACGACCGAGTTTCGGAGTGGGAGGCTGGGTTGCCGAACGTCGATTTGACTCAAGATGGTTGTGTAAGGAGAGGATACCGTCGATCTGACTCAAGACAGATCCGATTCAAGGAAATTAAGGAGAGTTGATAGCGGCGGCGCTAGCGATGGAGCTGGAGAGGAAGCTGACTCCGTTGATAGCAGCGGCGCTAGCGTTGAAAAGTATTTGTTTGGTTTGGACTCCTCAACTGCACAAGCGATTTGTGAAGGTTGTTGCGCATTTAGGAGTGAAGAGCGTTGTTCCTAAAACGATTATGCAGATGATGAACGTTGAAGGATTGACCAGAGAGAACGGCGCCAGTCATTTACAGAAGTATAGGCTTTTTGTAAAACGGATGCACGGATCATCTAACGAAGGGCCATCTTCTTCCGATCCTTTGTTCGCTTCCGCTACTGTTCCAAGAGTTTTCACGATTCAGATTAGCAGATATTACATAAATTTTTCGGGTAGGATTCAGAGATTGGGATACAAGAGAAACGATCATTATTCTTCTTCGGTAGAAATGTTACAATTTTGTGTGGAATGAATGTGGAAAAAAGCCCTAGTTGTGAAAAAAAAACCCCTAGTTGCTTATCAAGAGGAATGAACGCGCCTTATTAAAAAAATATAAAGCGACATTCTTACACGACACACATTTTACGAAAGGCGCCCTCCGTGTTTTTTTTTCTTTGCTATGACACTAATTTTAGGGCATGCAAAAATGCGCGCCCTAAACCCTTAAAATTTATGAAGAGCTAACATTATTTTTAGGTCACCCACTTTTGCGTAAAATAAATCACTGCGTGTCATAAATTGCGTGTCATTAAAGGTCTGTTTTCTTGTAGTGTACGTGTATGGGTCCTGTGCTTCCGGTAGTACGAGCCCATACTAACTTCCACACCTACCCATATTTGTCTCAGAATATCATCACAACAACCCTAACAGAACTCACTAGAAAATGCATACACCCTATTCTCATTTTCTAAAGAAAGGCTAGACATCCCTCAACTGGTCGGCTGACCCCACATAACTCACCCATGAAACTTCCACCAACCTTGCAGCACTCGTGTATGTTAATCATACATAACATTGGATCCTATAGACAGTCGAGTACTTGATTCAACCCTAAGCCCACAACCAAACAAGGAATGGGAAATAAGGCTAAATTAAACATTCTGAGGCTATAAAATCTTAGTTATGTACAATGTTGATGCATACACTAAGAAATTACAGTAATGATGTCAATTTCATATAAGGAAAACCCTAGGCCATCAGGCATCATAGAATCAAGAAATTCTTTAAGATCTCTAGCCTATCACTAGCATGTTGTCCTAACATATCACAATATCAATATAACAGTGTGGTAATTTGGGGTCTACTTACGGGCTCTGGCTGATCGTACACATCGCATCCTCTCTTGATTAATTTTGAAAACAATTTTGAAAATCATTTCTAAAACCTTTGTATTCCTTAGTATAAGACTCGATTCACATGGGTGTTCCTCCAATTCACGTAAGCCAACGCTCTGATACCAACTTTTAACGACTGAAAATTCACAACAAACTTACACTTTTAAAAACAACCCATCGTCATAAAATGTTTACATAATCATTGTTTCCAAATAGTTTATCCATATCAGAGTATCCCAAAATCATAAAGCTATAAATATAGGATGTGTACAGTCATGCCTTCGTCTTCTTGCGATCATCATAAGTACCTGAAACAACAACTAAAAACTATAAGCCAAAGCTTAGCGAGTTTCCCCCAAAGTACCACCACATAGCACACATAACATAAACGAACAAACATGTTGGGTCCAATCAGTCATCGGACTGGTATACCCCTAGCCCAATCAGTTATCGGACTGGAATGCCAATATACATTGGGTCCACTCAGTCATTGGACGGGAATACCCTCAGGCCCTCAGTACGAGTCTGGCATGTCAACCGGCCCTCATCTCATATATGGAATGCTTCTGAGCCCTCAGTTTGAGTCTGGCATGCTAACCGTCCCGTAGCTCATATCTGGAATGCTCCCGAGTTTGTTGGCTACAACACAAAGCAGTACAACCTCAACCGAACCCAATATGTCGACATATAACAGATAACAAACATAAGCAACACACAGATAAACATGCAGATAGAAATCACTGGTAGTCCTACAGATCTACCGGTCTACGCATATCAGCAACTATAATATAATCATACAACTCTATCACATACTCAACATATCAATGTATAGCAGGATATCATTCCAATAGGCCGGACTTGGTGCCTTCGACCCGTAAGTACAGTGAGGAAAACTCATCTCACAGTCTGAAAAAAAGTTAAACGACAAACTGCTCCAAATAATGACTCTACAAGTCACCTATTCAACACATAGAGACCCGGACTCAACTATTGCTCAAAATACCAAAAATACCCTTAAGTCAAACTTGGTCAACCTTGGTCAAAGTCAAAGTCAAAGTCAACGGTGCTTGATGACAAATATCCAACCTCACGTCGTGACCAGGCCTTTGTCACGTCGTGATAGTCCCCTTGGTCCGATTCTAACTTGACTCGACCTAACCTAGTCAACTCAGTCCAATAAATCGCCTGAGCGGATATCACGACGTGAGCACCCATTCTCACATCGTGAGATCCAAGGATCGTAACAGAAAACGGGTATTGGTTAACCCTCACATTGTGAGATCTTAGTTCTCACATCGTGAGCACCGTCTGAAGCTGAAAGTCACCATTTTAAGTCCTTATTCCATTAAGTCCCTGAATCCATCTCATCTCGAAGTTAAAGGGGACTCCTATAGTCTATAAATGTTTCCTTTTCTGGCCATGCATGCCCTCTTCATTATCCAACCCATTCTGAACAATATGATGATCAAGGAACTCGTAGAATCCATAGAGTTGTTTACTTTATGGATTTACTTCACTCAAGCATGCTAATCATGAAGAAAGGTGGACATGAAGAAAGGTGAACAAAATCCTAGATCTACTCATGAAATGTAATAAAGTTTGGATCTTTGATACTTACAAAGGTTCAACAGCAAGAAGAGGTGATAAAAATGTTGTTACTTGTCCATTCCACCACTAGATTACTCCTTTCCTATTCTTCTCTCCATCTTTAAGCTAGAAATGGCACCAAAATAGTTAATAACTTCAAGGATGAAGAATCTCATAGTTGTCTAGGGCTTAGAGTGTGAGGGAGGTAGAGGGTGAACAACCCTAGCCCTCTCTTTCATTTAAATATCAAAAATTAGGGTTTTTGGTCCTCAGACTGATCTCACATCGTGAGCATTGGATTGCTCACGTCGTGACCCTCAAATTGATGCGTGGGTCCAATATACACCTCACGACGTGAGCAAGCATTCCTCATGTCGTGAGAAGGGCCAAAATTGAAAGATTTTAACACAATAATAATAAGGGTGTGCACCTTACCCGAGTGTTATAGTTCCTTTATTTTGGTGACCGAGTTTGGTGGATTGAAACCTTAAAGTGATGACGAGATAGATTGCATATCCAGAGAGACAGAATCTCTTTTTTCTATATAACCACCCCCCCCCCCCAATTCTTTTCCTCTATGAATCAGCCCCAAAAGCCACGAAAATTACAAGATTATATGATGTTTTTGAAGCTACAAATCAAAGAAAAGGTAAATCATATACACCTCTGGAAGGTCCATAACAATTTTTACAAGTTTTATTGTCATTTCATCTTTTATTTTCGGATTTTATGACTCTTTCTTGTCTTTGATATTAATATTTGTAGATTATCACTATAAACATGTTGCATGTTATGAAAATAGTAATAATCCATGATCAAACTAAAGTTGAGAAGTAAGATGAAGACATGTAAGCTCTAAACCATCATCAATGGTAATTTTTCACACTTTGTTCTTTAGATTATGAGTCTTTTGTACCTAAAAAAATTTGTAAAACATCAAGACATGTGACATCCCCAAATTCACGTCCATAAAAGACCGATTTAATTTATGCTTTTAAAATAATTTCAGAGTAATCATTTGATTAAAAGAGTTGCGGAATTTGTTCCCAAAACAAAATATGATAAAATAAAATTTATCAAAGCATTTCTTAAAGAAATATATTTTCATATATAACAAAACACGGGATGTCATGTTCCGATACAGACCAAAAGCATAAACGGCACATTATAAGCCTTACAACAGATATATACAACTACTGGCCTATAAACAAAATATCTTCACAAGTTGTCCAACTTATGCTCTCGCGCCACTACCTGTAATGTAAATGAAGCTGGGTGGGTCAGGCTTGGGAGCCTGGTGAGCATATAGGGTTTTCAACCCACAATAAATAATTATATTTAATTTCATCAACCAACAATAACCCGATTACCCATTCCCGTTATCCTCACTTTACGTCCCTAAAACAACAATTATGACAAGGGACCTAGTCTAAGGATTTTCATCGGGATAGACATTACTGCAAAGGGGTTTCCTCGACAATAGATGTCCTAAGGCAACCATGAGGGGGATAGAGTACACCGGTGAACACATCGTTCACAACACCTACAGGTTATGAACCTGCTAGCGTTCCAATGGACAGTCTAGAAAGAGTCCGTGATCGTCATCCATACTCCGCTAGATGACTAGATCAACAACAACATCGAGGCCTCTCATCATTTTATTTAATCACACATCAACTATCTACCCATGTTATACCCAACAGTTTTGTAGATAACATATACATACATACATACTTATACAACTTTAAAACCTGTATAATATATCCATTCAATACTCATTCCAGATAACAGATAATATACAAACACATAGCACGTATTTTATAGAGATTAATTCATATCTATGTGTTAGAAGAAAGCAACTACACACTCAATCAAAACATATACTTAATACATTCAAACAATACTTGTATTAAAATCGTGTTTATGAAAGAGACTATGCACTCACTTGATAAGACGATTATCGGACAGCACTACGACTCTTCAAGTAGTATTCTTCGGTGAAACTGGGATATCTTCACACACCGGGCTTCTCGCGGGCAGAGCTTCGGCTCGAAAACTCTTTTCTTCTCGGGATCTTCGGTGCTTCGGGACTCGCTTCGGGTATTGGGATGATACCGGGGCTTCGGGGGTACTTCAAGACAGCTAGAGAGGGTATAGGGATTGAGAGAGTGAAGGAATTAGCAACCATGGCCGGCTGCCTTTCGGTTTCTATTTATAGGGCTGATTTTCTGGATTCACGTCGTGAATCTCAAAAATCCACGTCGTGAGTTTGGTCAGGCATAGGTCATTGCGTTCGTCATCAGTCCGCTTGCTCTGGAAGGCGTCTAGCACTTGTTCACGTCGTGAACATTGTGTTCACGTCGTGAGCTCTGACACAGTGTCGGGATTCGTGCCCCGAACTTTAGAAATTCATATCTCTCGCATACAAGATACGTTTTCAACGTTCTTTATATGCACGCATAGGTGAGATTATTCTCTACAACTCTCGTTTAGACTCTGTCGGCTAATTTTGATTTAACTTTTATTATATTATTTTTAGTAGGCCGAGAGA